CTCTGTGGCTGTGTGACCCGGGGTGAGTTACTTAACCTCTCTGGGTTTCCATTCTCGTGTCCCGAGAAGGGATGCTAATGACAATGACTCCATTGCAGGTTTGAGGACTGACTGGATCGAGGTACTTAGAGCAGTGCCCGGCGTGGTGTCAGCAGACGTTGGTTTTTGTCACATTGGTGTTGCCCCTGGTATACTCACCAGGGCAGGCTTTTCACATAGGAAGCAGACCAGGTTCCTTTAGGAGACATTTCACCTCCCCGCCCCGGCATTGTGCCCGTACAGCTGCGCCTGGCTGTGGGTAGACATGTCACGGATGGGTGTGGTGTCCCTGAATTAGGGAAAATGAATTAAGAAAAAATGGGCACTCTTTCTAGAGCAAGGTTTGCTCCTTACATAACTTTTTAGCAAAGATCCCCCAGACTCTTATGATCTTGGGTAAATGACGCTAGTTTAGCAAGTTGCTTTCTGCAGAGCTGCATACCACCACAGGTGAATGTGGGGGGAGGTGGATTTTTGTAGGGAGCAGCAGAGAAGTCAGACATGTGATAGAGGCATCTGCGCCTCCAAGCCTGCCCGCAAGCCCCTGTGCTTTCAAAACCATCATGTGCCTCTGACTCCCTGGGGTCTTGGTAAAGGCAGGTCTCGACTCCTTGGGTCTGGGGTCGGCCTCAGACACTGCGTTTCCAACTCATGTCCCAGTGAGGCTGACGCTTGGGGGTAGGGAAGGCCTGGCAAATCAGTGTCTCTTCTGAGAGTGATTCCAGTTTCAGGGAGGAAAGGCGGTCACTGGTATTTCTCAAACACCAGTGAGACACCAGGCTGAGCACTGATGTGATTTTATTATGTCAGCCTCACAGCGGCCCTGTGTGCAGATGGTGTCACCCCTTTTGACAGGAGGAAACCGAGACTCAGCAGTATGAACAGCCAGGTCAGCAGCCGACAAGAGGCCCCACCGCCACCTCCCACAGCCCCGGTGCAGGAACGGGTTGTCACTTTCATCTACACACTGGGTTTTTCTGCACCTCGGCTGTTAGCTAAGGAAGGATAAAAATCACCTCTCTCCCTTGCCGATCTTTGGTTTGAGTTGCAATTCTGTACTAATTTCCTGTCTCAGAAAATAACATAGGCTGTTTCCATGACGAGCAATCAGTGTATATTAACTGTGTTTAATGTTAGTTCCAACTATACAAAGAAACAGATTGTAAATATGTTTTACTGTGAAGAAAACGAGAGGTGCATGTGGGTTGTCAGCTGTAGCCTTGTCTGTTTCACCATCAGGAGGATCAACCTCCCAGAGCTGACGGCTGCCCGCGGCTAGCTGGCGATAGCAGCCGACTGCAGGCGGGCTGCCAGCCCCTGCCCTGTCACTCCCTGGCCTTGTGACTTGGGGCGTGGCCAGCAGGCTCTGGGCCTCCTGCCCTTCAGACTGAAGGTGGGGCGCAGCTCCCCGGTGGGACTGCGGTCACCTGGGGCTGAGCTGTTGTTGGAGGCCACTGGAGGTCAGTGTGCTCCGAGAGTCCCCACCTTGGCGTGGAATTGACTCTCCCGTAAGCTGTACAGGGAATGGCTGCATCCACCCGTCAGCTTCGCCTTCCTCTCTCCATGTTAAACTTGGAAAATATGTTTCAGAGATTAATTTCAAACGTGATTTCTCCTGGAAGGAAGAAGCCTGCCGTGTGTGTGATATTTAAAGACCGGAACATTAGGCAGCCCTTCTGGCCCTGGGCTGGGCCACAGTTCAGCTTTGTGACCGAGGTGGTGGCACCAGTGCTTACTGTGTAGTGTCCCCTGTCCAGGGTCCCCTGGTGCCCTTGAGTGTTGTACTGGCCTTCCGTCAGTGTGCGGCATTGAAATTGGAATATGGTGAAGTTTGAGTGAAGTTGCCAGAACTTCATCTTCTTTCTGAAACTCAGCAACTGGCCGGTTAGGGGATTATGTGCGCGCAAATCCTCCATAGATTTTCCCTCCATGGTCTACACAGGCACTTGTAATTAGGATCTCAGACAGTTATAAGAATGGAAACAGTTTTGACATGTTCGCTAAATTTTATGCCGGAGGTGAGTTGTGTGTGGCACTGCTGTCTGAGATCTAACAGCATTCTGTCACCCCCTGTCTTACTGTGTGCGGCCTCTGGAGAG